CTGGGCCTTGGTCCTCTGAGTTCCATTCCTGGGTCTGCTGCTCACAGGCCAAGGCCAGGGGTCAGGCCAGTTCTGGCCCAGGCTCTGCCCCTTGTTCTGAGACCTGGGGCAGGAAGTCTCCTCCCCGCCCTCTTCCTACCTGCTCAAGGCATCTGCTCTGAGGGTGAGGTCAGGCCTCCAGGAGGGACGCTGGAATCCCAGCAACTGCTCTCCAAGAATGGAGGAAAGGAAATGAGTTATTGCTCTAGTGGGCTAGACATCAGGAACGACTTCTCGGAAGGTGGGGTGGCAGGCTGTGAACGGCCATGGAACCTCCTATTCTGGGGGTCCTGGAAAATGAGACTACCTAGCATGTCCTGTGATGGTTTGGAGTCAGGAAGATGGAGTCAATGGCCTCATTCTGATGCTGTGTTCCTCTGGTCTTGGGGCCACCCTTCCACCCTGCTGTCCCCACTAGGGGGACACACTTGGGTGGCTTCCCACATGGGCCACTCTGTCTGGCATCTGGAGGTCCAGGACTATTCTCTTGCCCTGGTCCACGGGCTCAGAAACTCTCCACCCACCTCCACCCTGTCTGACACTAGAGGGCTTGCTCTCCTGAGGCCGGGGCTTCTGGGGCCCCCAGCCCCTTCTGGGGTATCACTCTTTCTCCCCTCCCCCAAGCTTCTCCTCCACCCCCATCCCCCACTTCCCAACCCTGGGAAGATTTTGTGACTGGAGATGACTCATCCTTCCACCTGGCTCCTTGGGCACCGAGCCCCCGGGTTGGTTCCATCTTACAGTTCCCACCTCCCTCTAGACTCAGAGAAGAGGGACCCAGGTGGGTCTCCTGCTAGGACCCCAGAGCTCAGCTCATCTCTGCTTCCTGCTGGTCAAGGCCTTAGAGTGGGCAAGTTGGGACCTACCTGTGAGTGAAGCCAGCATCAGGGACAGGGACCCTGCCTCCCTGGCTGCTCTTGGCCTCCTGCTCTGCCTGCCCGCCCCCTGTTCCCTTCAGCCTCCTCCAGGTACACCCACCCCCATCTTCCTCTGGGCCTTCGCCACTGCAGGGCTCTCAGCCCTTTCTTTCTTATGTGGCCCCTGCCCGTCATGATGGGGTAACAGGACCAGAAGCTTGTGATCAAGTCCCAAGACCACTAATCCCTTTAGAGGTTTTAGGCATGCTCTTGAGTGCCTCTGAACCTGTTTCCTCATGTATAAACTAGAGATAAAGTTTTCTGTCCAGCTTGTTAAATAAGAGCCTTGAGAAAAATAGAATAAAGGGTATAAAAGCTCTTTGCAAATTGTAAACCCTAAAGAAATGCAGGAAGTTACTGTGGGCCTTCTTGATACTCTGGGGCCAGATTCTACTTGCTCTGAGGGGGCCTGGTGAGAATCCAAGCCCATCAATGAACTGAGATGTGAATTTGGGCATATTCTCAACCACTTTGGAGCTCAGTTTCAAAGTCTATAAAATGGAGTTAATAATACCAACCATGAACAGCTATTATGAGGTTGAAATGGGATCAAGCAAGACATCTGGTGGGCTGTTACATTTGTTATAGCGATGAACATTTATAAACTGGGCTCTGTCATATTGATTCCTTGCTTATCTGGGGGAAGGAGACAAGATCATTCCCATTTTGCACGTGGGGAGACAGATTCTGAAGGGTTAACTCACCTGCCTGAGTTAACCAGTTAGGCATGCCAGTTAGGCATGGATGTCATCAGATTTGAATACAGATTTTTCCATTTGAAGCCCAGTGTCTTTAACAAACAAGCAAATAGACACCTACCCACCCGCCGTCACCAGGCATGATGGTCACCGAGCGCTTACTCTACAGAATCACCCATCACTGCAATGCTGTGAGGCAGGGTGACCAGCTCACTGTACAGATGAGGAAACCAAGATGCACAGAGGTTAAGTCACTTTCCCAGAATTACCACCTGGCTTCGAGAGTAATGGAGGGCTCCTGACCACCAGGTTCCACCCAATCCTGACAGGCCACTGGGACCAACCCTGCTTCCCACCAGAAAGTTCCACAAGGTCGAGATCCCTGTAGGAACCCCCGGCCCCACTCCCAGATCCTCTCTGATGCTCCCGGCCCTGCAAGGCCCCAGGCCCAATTCTCAGGCCACATCACAGATGCAGAACAAGCAGCCCATGCACAGAGAGATGTGCCAGGAGCCTCTGGCTGTTGACTCAAGGAGGCAGGGGACTCAGATGCATGCAGGTTTATGGCAGTTCTGGACTATGGGGTTCTGGGCAATCTGTGCTCTGAGCCTTGGATTCCTCATCTACAAAATGAGCTTCTAGATGTGTCAACCTCCCAGGGATAGAGCGAGGACCCCAGGAGGCCACAGATATGCAGGTTTATTGTAAACTCTAAAGTACCACACACTGGGAGCTATTATCATATTATTGTCTTGAGTTATGGGAATTTCCCCTGAGGTGGGGATAAACTTATAAGCATCACAGAAGGAGGCCTGGTAGGTCAGTGGGGATGCCACCATGCCAAGGTCCCCAGGCAGGCGCTGAGGCTTGGGTGACTGGTGGGAAGGAAGGACAGGACTCTACCCAGTCTGAGCTTGTCCCTTTCATGGCAGGACCTTGGTCTGGTCTTTGTCCAGCTCCCTCTTTCTCTAAAGATGAGCTCACACCACCTTATAGCCCTCTGGTCATGCCCCAGGGCTGTTAAACCTCAGCAGGGTGGGTGCTGGGTACGCCAGTGCAAAGCGGGAGAGGAATGACCGTTTCCTGCTGGACACAGGCCAGAGAGGTCCTATTTTATCTCATTGAATCCTCAGGATGATTAGTCCTATTCTACAGATTAAGAAAAAGGAAAGTTGAGTGGCTTGTCCAAAGTCACACTTTGGGTGAGACCTAGGATTGGGGCCCAGGTCTGCCTGACACCAAAGCCAGTGCTGTGAACAGAGGCATTGTACATTTCTACATATTCTCACTTCCTCTCCCTGCTCCGACTCCTATCCTGTTGCCCTTGAGGCTTCCGGGGCATAGCCTATCTTTGTTCTGTGGAGCTCTAGCCTCTAGGCAACGGGGGTAGGAGGGAAATTTGAGCTCTGGTTCACCTGGGTCAGCAGCTGCTGCAGGTGCTCTTCACGCCCCGAAACACACACGCGTGTGTCCCTACTCTGCTGGCCGGGGCCTCTGGACCATGTGTATTTACCCACACCTGTCAGTGAACCCCAGTGACTAGTGACTTCTGGGATAGTCACTCCTGGTCCCTGCCCCTGGCAAGCTGAGAGTGGTCAGGGATGTGACATTCCTTCTTGGATTCATCTCACAGCCTCCAGAAAAACAAAGTAACTAAATATGTTACCTCTGACTCTTAGAAGGTGGAGTTAAAGAAAAAGCCAACCCTGTCTGGTAGGCTTGATAGTGTTGACTTGAGTCGATGTTCTAATAAGCAGGACTTTTTAGTAACTGGGCTGCTTACTAATAATGTCAAATGCATTTAAGCACAGTGGTAGGTGACAGATGAAAGGGAGGTGCCTGAGGTCCAGAGCCCATCCCCTCCTCACAGCCCTGCTGACTGTACCCCCAGCGCAGGGACTCTGAGCACAGGTCCCGGCTCCCCCGCTTCCTGCTGCTCCCCCATTGCCCTCCTTGGTGTTCAGTCAACCTTCAGCAAAATGAGAATGAGGGGCAGATGTGACCCCCTAGGCCAGGCTAGTCCCCAGCTCCCCCTGCTGTGCTGGGGACTCCTATAGGGGCTTAGAAGGCAGAGGTGGTGCGAGGGAGGGCAGAGACCTCTGTAAGGGACCAGGGAGAGGAGAGAGGAGGCCTAATCTGGTGATAGGGCCTGGGGGTCCTACAGACCAGGGCATGGCTGCCACCAGAGGCTGCTTGAAGACTTTCCATCAACCCTGACTGCTCACCAATTCCCAGTCCCAGAATGTGTGCACCCAAAGTCTTAGGCTCTTCACGGAGGAACAACGCTGGTGTTTGTGGATCGCCCGCTCTGGCCGCAGCTGTTTTAACTCTCACCTCCCTCCTCAGAGAGGCCGCAAAGCCTCCTGGTTGAACATAACCTTCAGAGCCCAACTTTCTGGGCTCACATCCTGGCTCTGCCACTCTCACATGAGAGTTTAATCAAGTTTGATCAATCTCTCTGCCTCTGTTTCCCTGGCTGCACAATAGGGATAATCAGAGTTCCTCTTCATAGGGTTGTTTCTCAAGATCAAGTGAGTAGATACATATAAAGCATGTTAAGTCCTCTGAAACTACAGATTAAAGTGCTAAATCTAAATGAATGAATCACTTCTCCTATAGCTGAATAAGGTTAAGGTCCTTGGTCACCTTCTTCCCCTGCATTCTACCTTTTCCTGTTGTATTGGTGTGTGTGTGTATGTGTGTTTGTATGTGTGAGTGTGCACGAGTTCCCTTGTTACTGAGAAGAGGGGAGAACAAGGCAGGCCAGGGCTTTTCTTAAGCAGTGCTTCTCACACTTTTTGATGACAGCTCAAAGAATGATGTTTTATAATCTAACACACATACACAGAAAGATGGGGTGCCAGGGAGTGAAGAGGGAAGAAAGGGTGGTAACTCCCAGCTCAGAGTGAGGTCTGGTCCAGCAGCCTCTTTTTTGAGGGTCCATAGACACATGGAGCCCCTGGAGGAGGGCATGGCAACTCACTCCAGTATTCTTGTCTGGAGAATCCCATGGACAGAGGAGCCTAGCGGGCTACAGTCCATGGGTCACACAGAGTTGGACTGAAGTGACTTAGCACAGCACAGCACAGCACAGATACATACAGCCAAAGCAGATGCCCCATGCTCTAGGCAGATGGCCCAGTGCCCTCTGCCCACCTCTCTGTATGGGGAGAGACCACAGGGAGTTGGGGACAGCAGGCTCTGAGTTTTCATTCCATCCTCAGACACTCTCTTCCCTGTTTGGGGGCTCTGCTCACCCCTTAGCCACTTGCCCCAGGACCTCTGTCTCCTGGGTCAGTGGGGCTGACCGCTGGGTGAGTTAATAGAGGAACAGCCTGAGGGACAGCCTTTGATCTGCTTTCAGAATGCCTCCCCAGCAAGGACGCCTCCAGCCCGGGCATCCCCGGGCCGAGCACCCCCAGCCCGAGCATCACCTTCCAGGTCATCATCTGGCAGGTCTTCGTCTACCATGTCAGCATTCACGACATCATCTCCAACTCGAGTGTACCTTGTCAGAGCCACACCAGTGGGGACTGTCCCTGTCCATGCATCTCCTGCCAGGGCCACACCAACTGCCAGGGCCGCCAGGGAGAGCCCAGGTAAGGGGACTCCTGCAGGGAAGGCAAGAGGAACAGGGAAGCCGTCCGAAGGCGGAGGGGGTGTGGTGGGGGTGAATCTCCAAGCTGGGCACTCACTGCTTCTCCTCTAGTTCTTGGATGACAATGTCTGGGAAGGAGGGGGGATGGTCTGGATGGGCAGTGGGGGACCTGGGGAGGTGGGGGCAGAAAGGAACCATGACACACAAACCCAAGACCATGGGAAATTGGGGCAAATGCGGTAAGCATAAGAAATCAGGACCAACAAAGCAGGTATGACTTTGGAGGCTGCACAGTCTGGGTCAAGGTGCAGATTTTGAGAGCCAGAGCTCCTAGTTAGAAACCAGGCCGCTTTCCTAGGGTTGCCCTGGAGGGTCTGCTGGAGAAGCTGGGGTCTACATGGGAGTACAGCGATGATCAGGGGCCTATCTGTGGGTGGAGGAGCAAAGGGAGAGATTCTAATCAGACAGGCACACCCCACCCCCAGCTTCCCAAGCTGGCCATTATGATTCAGCTCATATGGAGAGATGCCAAATGGGCCTCAGGGACTGGCTCTGCCCTTAATGAAGCAGCCTTTTGCCCCCATCCCAACTTTGCCCTCCTCTTGCCCTCAAATTCAGTCTGCCCCAGTACAAACAGGCCTGGAGAAGGATCTCAGATTTGGGGCCTGTCTTGCCCTCTGAAGAGTCAATGAGGCACTTTGGTGTAGAGATCTTTGGCATCAAACACATTTCATCTGAATCCCTGTTCTGTCACTCACTAGCCAAGTAACCCTGAGCGAGTAATTTAACTTACACGAACTTCAGCTTCCCCATCTATAAAATGGGTATAATAATGTCCAGTTCACACAGTTGCTGTCAGAATTAAATAAGATACCACACACAAATGCCTAACTGGCCCATAATAGATGCTAAGTAAAAGGGAACTTGGTATCAGGCAGGGATGGTACCATATTCTGGGTGGAGAGGGCCTAACTGGGTCCTCCTGGACCAGCCTTCTTTCCCTACCCCTTCTCCGCTGTGCCGGACTCCCCTCTCACAGTCTCACTCTCCCCTGCTGCTGGCCTGCTCCTAGGTATCACCTTGCCCAAGTTCACCTGGCAGGAGAGCCAGAAGCGGCTGCCGCTCATCGGATGTGTCCTTCTTCTCATTGCCCTCGTGGTGTCGCTCATCATCCTATGTGAGTTTAACAGAGGGAGCAAGGCCGGCCTCTGGTCATTGCAGGGTGGAGTGGGATTGGGGGATGGGGGCACTCAGCAGGGAGACAAGAGTGGGGAACACACACTGGCTGCTGTGTCCACAGAGGGACACTCCTGCAAGCGGCCTTGAACCCTGGCACCTCCAGGCCTCTTGGAGGTGGGTGGGTTGAGAGGGTGGGAAGTCAGAGGAACCGGGAGTGGGTCCCTTCTGTAGAAGTTCACCAGTCTGAACTCAAGTTTCTGTGTCTTCAAATGGGATTAAATGCATTCATTCATTCAAGTTAACATGTGCTTAGTAAAATATCCTGAAGATTTCACTGGGTTATGAGGAATAAAGGAGCTAATGGCACAGTGCCTGACACAAAATCCCACTCTAAAAATCTGAGTTATTTAAAAAACAAGCATTAAAAACATTGATGAGGTAAAGGCCCCTTGGGCATTTTTGGTCAATGGGATCAAGTGTTCAGGGGTCCAATCTCCCTGAAATCCACACTCTCTTCTGGAAAAGACTCTCAGGACCTATCCCACGGCTCCCTGAGGGGGTGTCTGCTCTGAGCCCAGCACAGTGGGATACCTTAGCGGGAAGCAAGGGGGAGTACCCACTGTACCCCTCAGTCCTCAGGGCAAGTACAGTCCCCTGGGGGACAGAGGTGGAAATGATTAAGGCCAAGTGGATTTGGGTATTACCATCAGGAAGAAAGGACAGCTGTGTGGGTACGGAGGCAGGGGACAGCTCCTGAAGGCTGGGGGGCCAGATGAGGACCTAGAAGATGGCAGGGAGGGGAGGATCTCCTGGGCAGGGCATCTAAGTGGGGCGAGCAGCTGCAGGAAGTGTGTGGGGGGGCAAATGGGCAAGTTGGCATGCGGAGGGACCCGATTCACCAGGGTGAATACTCATGCAGGGACCTGCAGGCTGTCCTTCGGTTGGGCATAGCTGGGCCATGATGGAGAGAGCTTGAAGTGCCAGGCCGAGGGGTGAGGATTCTGTTACAGAGGCCGCACCGGGCGGTGACGGGCGGGCTGGGTGCCCATAGGGAAATCCCCAGTAGGCAGGGCTGTTTGAGGAAGAGAATCGCGGGGAAAGAAGTATCTGGTTACAAGGGCAGTTTTAGGACCAGACAGACTTGCTGAAGCATCTCGGCTCAGCCACTTAAGTTAATGAACTTCCTGAGCCTCAGTTTCCCTGCCTTCCTGACAATGCCCATGAAGGTGTCAGCACAGGGCCTGCCTCTGTGGCCCCCATGTGAAGCTCCCACCAGGATGCTCGACCCTGTTCCCTCCCTTCCCCTCACAGGGCACACGCTCCAGGGGAGGCCCCTGGCAGTGCACAGAGCAGCAGGAAATAACCCAGAGGGGAGGTGAGAGGGCAGCCTGGGCAGCGGGGCTCTCAATGTGATTTCACAGCACTTCCTGAAGTCCCCGGACCTCCGGACGTCCCGGGGAGGCGGTCACTGTGCAGCTCGGCAATGTGGTCAGGACTAGAGCCCCCGCCTCCTGAGAGCTCTCTGCTACACAGCAAGGCGATCCCAGGAGCCTCGGTGCCTGGGGTCGGGGTGGGGGTAGAAAGACCAGGGCCCAGGAGGAGGGGAAGTCCAACAGGTTAGGGGGACTGGTGTCTGGACCAGGGAGGAGCAGTCACGCAGGGGGACCTCCAGCTGGTGACAGCACAGTGGGACCAGAGACAGAGGCGCGGTTCAGGGCTGAGAAACAGGTTGCAGACAAGAGGCAGGGTGAGGGGTCAGACCCCGGGCTTCCTCAGGCATCCAAGGTGAGGAGTTTCCAGGCAGGAGGCATGACAACTCCCGGTATGGAAAGAGATCTTAGGAGAAGTTGTGGAGCTGATGCTCACATATGGTTTGTAAAGCTGTTGGCTTTTCAGCCCAACTTGTGCATTTGGGAATCAGCTACCTCAAGTTGCTCGCTGAGTGGGAAGACACTTATTTATTTATTTTTGGCTGCGCTGGGTCTTCATTTCCATGTGCAGGCTTTCTCTAGTTGCGACAAGCGGCAGACTACCCTCTGGCTGCAGTGCAGAGGCATCTCATTGCCGTGGCTTCTCTTGTTTTGGAGCCCAGGCTCTAGGGTATGCAGGCTCAGTAGTTGTGGCTCACAGGCTTAGCTACCCTGAGACATGTGGGATCTTCCTGGACCAGGGATCAAACCTATGTCCCTGCATTGGCAGGTGGATTCCAGCCACTGGACCACCAGGGAAGTCTCTGGGAAGACAGTTAAAGGCCTTGAGACAAGCCATGGGGCAAGAACTGAGCCTAGAGAATAGCTCTTGTTTAGAGAAGAAGGAGGTGGAAGAAAATCTAGGCGTTTTCAAGGCTGGAAGGATGACCTCTGAGAAGACGGGACAGGCAGAGATGGTGAGGATGCTGGACTGGGTCTGAGAAGGGGCCTCTGGGATACTGAAAAGGAGGATTTCTCTGAATAACACTCTGGCCAGCACGTAGGGCAGCAGAGCTTCCGGAGTATTACTCATCTCCATACCTCCCTCCCTTACACTCTCTCTCTCTGAGTGGCTGCTTTTGAGTTTGCCTGGTGCTGTCCTGCTTGCAGGAGCTTTCTGGAACATTCCAGAGCATTCCTGAGCAGACTTTCTCTCCATACAGATGGGGGACGAGTACCCCAGAGCCCAAGAGGCATTGCAGGTCGGTGTCTCAGAACCCCCAGGGCCTTGGGCTGCATCATCTCATGTCTCTCTGGGGCTGGCAATGACCCAGCTTCTGCTTCATGGTTTGTTTTTTTTTTTCAGTTTACTTCTGGTGGGGCCACACAGGGGTCAATTACAAGGAGCCGAGAGAGAGCTGCCCTAGTCACGCTGTGCGCTGTGATGGGGTCGAGGACTGTAAGCTGAAGAGTGATGAGCTGGGCTGTGGTAAGGAGGTTGGATGTGTGCATGTGTTCGTGTGTGTATTCTGGAGGCTGTAAACTGGGTATCAGCTCAAATGGGAGGTGATGGACAGAGACCTGGAGGATCTGGGTTCTAGTCATAATAGACTGGGGTCTGGAACCTGGCTTTGAGTGTGACTTGGGCGAATCACTTACCTTCTCTGGGCTTCAGTTTCTTAATTTGCAAAATGTGTGGATTGGACAAGATAAGTGCTTCTCAAATAAAATCTGGCAGCTCCCAGCAAAGCAGAGCTGCCCTGCAGCTGGAGACAAGTGTGGCGTCCGAAGCCCTGTCCGTGTACCCCTTCTCTTTGCCCAGCAGGTAACCTCTGACCTGCCACCTCTGTGGTTTCATGAAGGTCAGTTTGTAAATAAAGCCACAGATGAGACGAAGACCTCTTTAAGTGCTGTCTTCAGTGGTTTTTACAGGCATTGTCTATGTACAGCCCTGATGTGGGTGTCTGTGGGTACATAACCTACCCCTTCCACCTGTGTGCATATGTGTGTCCTTGCCCATGACCACATCCATCTGTGACTGCACAGGTCGAGTGAGCACTCAGTTGGATCAAGGTTCCCCTTGTCACACTCTTATTTGGGCATGTCACTGCCCTCTTGGGGTGATGCCTCCTGGCAGTGCTCACCCCTCCTCCCAGCAAAGACTCCTGGGTCCTGTTGGACAGAGCGCTCTCTGCTCTGCTCCAGCCCCTTGCCTTGGCTCTGCCCTCACTGAGCACCTTGAGCTCTGAGCACTGGCTGATGACCATCCTGTCCCCGGCCAAGCTCCCAGATGTTTGCAAGGCCTCAGCGAGAAACCTGGGGACAGGAGCATCTCAGAGCCTCACTCGGTTCATTGCTCAAGAGCTTGGAGCCTCCTGGTGTTGAGGACCTGCCTTGCCCTTTTCTTGACCGGCAGTGAGGTTTGACTGGGACAAGTCTCTGCTTAAAGTCTACTCTGGATCCTCCCATCAGTGGCTTCCGGTCTGCAGTGACAGCTGGAATGACTCCTACTCGAAGAAGACCTGCCAGCAGCTGGGTTTCGAAAGGTAAACCTTCCCCTCCAGGCCCTGCTTCAGGGACGTCTCAGACTCTCCACAAGGGCATCTCAGGCTCACTGAGGGTCACTCATACCAAGAAGACCCTTGGGCACCAGGGCTGAGGTCACGAGCTCATAGTGCCTTCGACTTATTCAAAGGAACAGTAGCCTGGGGAGCCCAGGTCTGGGGGCAAGCTGTTTCCAGGAGGCCAAAGTACTTATTTGCAGATTTGCAGCAGGATGGCACTCCTATACAGTTCTTTGCATCAAACACCCTCGTGCCCACGATCACGTTCAGTGGTCACGGTGGCCCTGTGAGGCGGGTGTGCCTTTGGGCAGGTCTTGTCTTCTTTTCACATCTGATAACTAGCAGCTCAGGCTGGGCAAACCCTTCAGTGGACTCTGAGCAGCTGCAGCTTGAGCTAGGATTCATCAAACGAAGAGTGAGATGGGCAGATGTGGCCAGGTAAAGTCCTTAGCATCTTTGGCTCTAAAGATCTGAAACAGGAAGCTGGTACCAGTGGGTGGAGTAGGGAATGGGGTTTACCATGACCTTCCAGCTTGAAGAAACCCTCCATTTCTGGCCACATAATCACCTCCATACTCCCTCTTGGTCTGGGTTTCAAACCAAGTAGTTTGGGGGGTTCACTAATGTGTGTGAAGTTCTGGGGAGAGGGTTTATTAAGGATCTCACTGTGGGTTCTCTGTAGAAGAAGCACCCGGAAAACTGGGCTTGGGCACTAGGACTGAGAACCAGTTCTCTGACCTGGGTGATCTAGTTGGAAGATGACAGACACGGTTTATCATTGAGTTGTGTGACCTTATGCAAATGTGAACTTCCGTTGGACTTCAATAGATAGCGTCATTTATTCAAAGAATATTCATCGAGTTTTTATTATGTGCCAGACACCCAGACAAGATCCCTGTCGTTGGACAATCTCTGGTATGGTGTGGGCGAGAGAGACTTTAACCAATAATCACAGCGCTGTGTGATGTGTAATGGAAAGAATACGTGGGAAGCATTATGTACACACAACAGAGAGGGTGCCTGATTGCACTTGAAGGTCAGCACAGCAATGGAGGAAGAGCGCCCACAAAGGCAAGCTTGCATGTAAGGGCGTCCCACATCCTAGAAACACACTGAAGTGCCACACAGATAGTAGTCCATGGATCACCCACAGCAGAATCACCTGGGGTGCTTGTTGAAATGCACCCTGAAATCAGAATCTCTGGGATTAGGATTTCAAACCCTTAGCAACATCCCAGGGTGGTTCTTAGGCACACTCTGGTCTAAGGAGCGGAATGGTTCTCAGGCTTTAATGTGCAAACCCATAACATGGAGATCATTAAAATGCAGAGCATGGCTCAGCAGGTCTTGGGGGGATGCTGCTGCTGCGGGTCCATGGATCACAGTTTGGATAGGAAAGGGCTCAGTCGGTGTTTCTCAAACTCCAGAGTGCAGCAGGATCACCTGGAGAGCCTGTTAAAATGCAGAACCAGAACTGTTGATTCAGCAGGTCTGAAATAGGGCTCCCAGATTTGCATTTGTAACAAATTCCCAGGCAGTGCTAATATTGTCCCCTGAGATGGGACCATATTTTCAAAACTACTGGGCTAGTGTGTAAGGCTAGTCGGGGGAGTGGTGGAACATGTGGGTGGGGTCTGAGACCATTGGATTTTAACTGCCTCTGGCCTCCGCAGCAGGGCTGGCTGGGACTCTTATGTGGGTCTGGGGACCAAGGGTGGGCGCTGTCTCAAGGTGGTTCATTCCTCTCCCCTCTCCTCCTTTGCAGTGCTTACTGGACAACCAAGGTGGCTGACAGGAATGTTGACAGCAGTTTCTCAGTCTCCGAATTTAACTCCACCATCCAGGAGAGCACCTACACGTACGTGGGGTGGGCCCGGCTGTCTGCTGCCAGCAGGGGTATAAAGGACTGCTTTGAGTCCCTTGGCCTTTCTGGGACCCCCACCTCCAGGAGTCCTTCGTGAATGTCCAGAGCATTTCAGAAACAGCTCTCATTCACTACCTGCCTCCTAACTTGGAAGTTATTAAAACTTGGTGCAGAGCACCTCGAAGTCATGGGGACCCAAGAATTTACCTGGTTGCCAAAGACAATGAATAAACTTTGGGGCCACTGATCAGCCTGATGTTAGGACTGAAAGCCGCTGCAGGGAGGGCACTTGGGGTGGAGAGGGAGAAACATCCCTGGGGTGGCAGCGGGGAGGGAGAGTGCCAGGTGCAGGCAGTCAGGGGCAGGGAGGCCCATCTGGGGAGCACCGCCATCTGTCACTCTGCACTGCAGCTGCTCTTGTCCCAATGCCACTGGTTGGGAGGGGTGGCGGGTGCTCCACCAGCTAGCAGTGTTTACCCTGGGGACAGCAGAGAAGAAACCAGGCTGTGAGAGAAACAGATGTGGGGAGGGCAGGAAGGCAAATGAGCTGGCTCCTGGAGTCCTGCTTTGTGCTGGGTGGTTCACGTGCTGCACTGCTGGTAGAGTGTTGGGCAAGTGTCAGAGGAGAGTTGGGCCACCTGTTTAGCTATGGAAAGATGCTGGGACAGTGAAGTCGTGAGTTCAGAAGACATGACCTAGCCAGTATGTGCAACCTGCCACAGAAAAACTGGGAGATGGGGAAGGTGGGGCTGGTTTGCACTAAGCCACCCCTGTTTCTAGAGAAGGCACGGGAAGGGTCTGTCCCGCTGGGAGGGAGAAAGATCAGAATCTCCATCTTCTTGTGCAAAGGGGACAGGACAGAACTTAGCAGGAGCCAATCATGGAAGGCTTCCAGGAGGTGGCGGCTGATGTGCCCTTTTCTCAACTTTTGTATCTCCTCCTGCAGGTCTGATTGCCCTTCCCGGCAGTATGTTTCTCTACAGTGTTCCCGTAAGAAGACACTCTTTCTCATGGATTGTGGCCGGTGTGGGGTGGGAGTCAGGGGACAGAGGGATGGGGTCCTTGTGAGGAAGAGGGCCAACCCTGGGGGTCGGAGCCAGGAAGAGGGGCTTGAGCAACAGGCCTGTTTCAGGGCCAGGGTGCCTGTCAGTCACCTGGATAGACATTCTCAGGGCAGCATTTCCCCTTCTGACTCTGCTCAGCCCAGCAACCTCACCATTCAAGTGTCCTGGATTCTGGGCAGGGGACAGAGGATTGGGAAAGCATGTCAGAGCCACCTTAAAGCTCCAGCTTAAATCTCCATATCAGTAGACATGGAGCTAGATCCAGAGCCCAGATTTGTGGAGAGCATTGGTTGCTGAGGCACTATGGCTTTGTAAATATGATTGCATTGAATTCTCATGAGGAAGGTGCCATTATTGTCCACTTACTGAAAAGAGACTGAAATGCTTGCCTTACTTAAGCTAAGACCTCTGGTAGGTGAACAGCTGGTATTGAATCGTGGGTCTGACCACAGGGCCCAAACCATTAATCAGTCCAAGAGTGCTGTGTTCTCATGATGACCAGGTGGGGTGCCCCCCTGAGCAAGTGGGCACAGTGCTACGGACAGAGGCCCCTCAGACCACCGCTGGCTCTTCACTCTCTCCTCCTTCAAAGGAAAAAGGAAACTTTGTGCATGATTTCAGGGGATGACTCACTCTAGAACATGTTTGGAAATGTTCCCTTGGGGCACAGGGTCCCCAACAGCACTAAATGACCCCCTGAGAAACCATGTGGGCACCAACTACTTGTGCATCATGGGAAGGACTTTTCTCCTTTGTTTTGAAACAATCCAAATCACATTGCTCATCAATTCAGAGTTGTGTTAGACTTGGTCTGCTTTCCAAAGCTCCTGACAGCAGCCCTGGGGTTCACCATTGTGACCCTAACACTTGGCACATCACCCAAAGCAGGGGGTACTTAGGATGCATTTGTTGAATTACTGGAACAATAAATGAATGGGAGGAAAGAGGATATTTCCTAGGATCAGACTTCCTACTGGATGATCCCAGAAAGCTAACCCACCATGTGGGAGCTCTGTGTTGGCAGGAAATAGCTGTGCCAAATCAGATTAAGTGGGCAAAGCGGCCTCCGTGGGTGGGTGGTGCCCTCATCCCTGAGCCTCCCTTGGCCTGGGAGCATGGTTGCAGCTATAAGAAAAGCAGACTTCATAGTTCATCTCTTCTGCTTCTCCCCAGACTGTGGATTGAGGGCCATGACCGGGCGGATCGTGGGAGGGGCGCTGGCCCCAGAAAGTAAGTGGCCATGGCAAGTTAGCCTGCAGTTTTCCCGCACCCACATTTGTGGGGGCACGCTGATCGACGCCCAGTGGATTCTCACCGCCGCCCACTGCTTCTTTATGTAAGTGCCCGAGGGAGCCGTGATGCGACGAGGCTGAGGGTCGGGGCCGCCAGGAAGGGCTGAGGGCAGACTGACTTCTCTCTGTGGAGGAGGACTTTGGTTGTAAGCCTGGCCCCGAGGACTGGGCAGCACATGTGTGGTGAGGACCATGATTTGGTCCTGGGAGTGTGAGTTGGGGTTACTTATCCTGAGCCAGTGCAGAGTGAGAAAATACCATTGGTGGCTTCAAGGGAGAGAGAGGGGAAGGTAGACAGGAGGAATTGGGAGCCTGCTCTAAACAACAGGGTGAAATAAAGAGGTTTGGGGCTTGTAGCTGCTTTCAAAACCTGGAAGTTAAAGGAGAGGAGCTGGAGACATCGGGAATGCTGTCCCAGGAACTGAGGGATTGGGGCTGCAGGCAGGGCAGTGCAGTCAGCTTTTGACAGTCACCAGCCAGGCTTGTCCTTCGAGTTGGTGACAGGAAAGGGCTGGGAGATGAGGCCTCAAAGGCACTGGCTTCCCCAGCAGTGAGTCTTCAGTGGGTCACTTTGACCTATTGAAAGCCCCGTTTCTGCTGAGAATACTACCACTGAAATGTGTCCCATATGCTTCATTGGATCCTTGGTGGCATCCAGAGGAGACAGTGGGGCCAGTGGTCCCAGAAGTCTTACTCATCTCCTCCCATTTTCTATTTTTAAAATTTTATTTATTTATTCATTTATGGCTCCACTGGGTCTTCACTGCTGCATGGGGGCTTTCCCTAGTTTCAGCAAGCCGGGCCTACTCTTTAGTTGCGATGCACGGGCTTCTCATTGAGGTGGCTTCTCTTGTTGCAGAGCAGTGTTGGGGCTTCAATAGTTGGGGTGCATGGAGTTGTGGCTCCCAGGCTCCAAAGCATAGGCTCAACAGATACGGCACATGGGTTTAGGTGCTCCTCGGCATGTGGGATCTTCCCAGACCAGGGATCGAACCTGTGTCTCCTGCCTTGGTGGCTTTACCACTGAGCCGCCAAGGAAGCCCCCATTTTCTATTGTAAGGTACAGAACTGCCAGTTCAGAGCAGTTTTTTGAAAGTAGAGGATTGTTCTAGACCCCTGGGCTAACATAGAGTGCCTCCTCCAGAGGTCATTTCATCCATCCTCCTGCCTCCAAGCTGGTGCTCTGGCTGAAGCTCCTGGTGTGCAGCAGATGTTGCCAGGACCTCTGCCAGGTGGTAACTGGCCTGTGCTCTCTGTGGCTTTGGCAGTACCCGGGAGAAGATCCTGGAGGGCTGGAAGGTGTACGTGGGCACCAACGACCTGCACCACCTGCCCGAGTCAGCCTCTGTCGCCCAGATCATCATCAACAGCAACTACTCGGATGACCAGGATGACTATGACATCGCCCTCATGCGGCTCTCCAAGCCCCTGACCCTGTCCAGTGAGTGAGCCGCCCTGCTCAGCCAGCACCCCTCGGTGCTGAACCTTTGCTCTTAGCAGCATCCACAAACCCATCCCAGGGTCCAGAGCTTCAGCAAGGCAGATGTCAGTCTTTGAGATCATTTGGTGGAACTCTATCTTACAATTGGGAGAACTGAGACCCAAAGGTTGGAAATAAACTTGCCCCAGTGACCCCTCTTCTCTTGCAAATGGGTTTAGGTTCTGGGCTTCATTAAGATAAACAGATCGAGTTGTTTCACTCGTATATCCAGCACTTAACAGAGGCCAGACACCATGCTAAGTGTTTTACATCTAGAATTTCATATACTCTTCACAACCGGATCCTGTGAAGCAGGTACTATTATTAGCTTCATTTTCCCTTTGAGGAGAAGACCTTTAGAGAGAGATAATTCCCTGAGGCCATGAAGCAATAAGGAGCAGCTTCAGGACTGGGTCCAGGTGGGTCTGCCTTGCAGGCAACATTCTTCCCACGCTGCTCTGTGCTGGCAAATTGCTAACACTTAAAATTACTAACATAAGCAAAATACCTATGCAACCAAACAGCCAACTGCTGCAAGGGTAAGCTGAGACGTTGAGAACGAAATGGGGCTACAGAAAGGAAATACTACCGAAATTCTCAGGAGATCAGTTTTCGTTCATTACTTCATCCGCCCATTTGTTCACCTATCAAATACAGTGTATCTACTACCTAGCGGCTCTGCAGTTCCCCAGCAAAGAGAACAAGACTGATGGCCCGCACAAACAGCCGCTTAGAAGCTAGTGATGTGATGTCAGGGGACCCTGGGGGAGGATGGCACGGTGGCACAGATGTGGGCACCTAATCAGTCTTGGCAGGCTACAGAGGCTTTCGGAGGCCTTGGAGGGCTTTTTGGTTAGTCCAGCCTTTCTGGCGCTCTGGGCCTATGAGCTGGCCTTTCCTGGCACATTATTTGCGGAGGTGGGGTTGGTCCTGAGTCAGAGCAGTTAGCTCATCAGAGTGGTGTCGGGAGGAGGAGTCCAATTCCCAACACAAGATTCGGTTGGGTGGGGCCAACCCAGAGCCACGCCCACCTCCGGCCACGCCCACGCTGCGAGCCATCTCTGCCCTCCGCCTGCCCCTCCCCGCCATTCTTACCTGTGGAGCCTGGGACTGTGAGCGGAGGGGTGCCCTACTGCCCCTGCCTTGCCCCTAATGCACACGTAAAAGGGGGCAGGCAGTCTGCAGGACCAAAACAGGCCTTCCCAACCTTGTCAAACACAGACTCCATTTGGCTAACCATCCGGACCTCATTTGCCATCAACCCAAACCCCCATTAATGTTATCTGAAATTCCAAATCTAATTAAATAATTTGTAAAATGAAATTAAAGTTATTATAGCGTTACATATGCTTTTCAGACTACAGCAGTCCCTCCCTAGATTCTGATAGCCACCCCTCCCCACCCCTCACTTCTGCTCAAGCAGCATCTTTGTAGCATCATAAATCACAGCTAGGATTTATGTAGTCCTGTGGTCAAACCATGTGCCCTGATTTTTGGTTTAGAAATCAGAGCAGATTTTCTTAAACTACCTGGTAGGCTGAGCACTTTGAAGTCACTGTACTAGCTGAGAAAGCTTGTGAAAACTCACTGATAAATTTAATTACCCCATAAAAAAACGCAAGTAGATATATACTAGTGTTACATGTTTTTAAGACTGTATGTCTCAAAAATAGGTATAGACTAATTTTTTTTTTTGCTATACAGTAGGTTCTTGTTTATTTTAAAAATTTATTTATTTTCTAATTGAAGGATAATTGTTTTACAGAATTTTGTTGTTTTCTGTCAAACCTCAACATGAATCAGCTATAAGTATACATATATCCCCGCCCTTTTGAACCTCCCTCCCATCGTCCTCCGCATCCCACCCTTCTAGGTTGATACAGAGCCCCTGTTTGAGTTACCTTAGCCATACAGCAAATTCCCGTTGGCTGTCTATTTTACATATGGTAATTTAAGTTTACACGTTACTCTTTCCACACATCTCACCCTCTCCTCCGCTCTCCCCATGTCCATAAGTCTATCCTCTATGTCTGTTTCTCCATTGCTGCCCTGTTAGTAAATTCTTCAGTACCGTTTTTCTAGATTCCGTATATATGTGTTAGAATATGATATTTATCTTTCTCTTTCTGACTCACTTCAATCTGTATAATAGATTCTAAGTTCATCCATCTCATTAGAACTGACTCAAAGTCATTCCTTTTTATGGCTGAGTAATATTCCATTGTGTATATGTACCACAACTTCTTTATCCATTCACCTGTTGATGGACATCTAGGTTGCTTCCATGTTCTAGCTATTGTAAATAGTGCTGCAGTGAACAATGGGATACATGTGTCTTTTTCAATTTTGGTTTCCTCAGGGTATATGCCTAGGAGTGGGATTGTTGAGTCATATGGTGGTTTTATTCCAAGTTTTTTAAGGAATCTCCATACTGTCTTCCATAGTGGCTGGATTAATTTACATTCCCATCAACAGTGCAAGAGCATTCCCTTTTCTCCACACTCTCTCCAGCAATTATTGTTTGTAGACTTTTTGATGATGGCCATTCTGACCAGTGTGAGGTGATATCTCTTTGTAGTTTTGATTTGCATTCATTGGAAGGACTGATGCTGAAGCTGAAACTCCAGTACTTTGGCCACCTCATGCGAAGAGTTGATGCGTTGGAAAAGACCCTGATGCTGGGAGGGACTGGGGGCAGGAGGAGAAGGGGATGACAGAGGATGAGATGGCTGGTTGGCATCACCAACTCAATGGGCATGAGTTTGAGTAAACTCCGGGAGTTTGTGATGAACAGGGAGGCCTGGCATGCTGCGATTCATGGGGTCGCAAAGAGTCAGACACGACTGAGCGACTGAACTGAACTGAATAATGAGTGATGTTGAGCATCTTTTCATGTGTTTGTTAGCCATCTGTATGTTTTCCTTGGAGAAATGTCTGTTTAGGTCTTTTCCCCACTTTTTGATTGGGTTGTTTGTTTTTCTGGTATTGAGTTGTATGAGCTGCTTGTATATTTTGGAAATTAACCCTTTGTCAGTTGTTTCATTTGCTATTATTTTCTCCCATTCTGAGGGTTGTCTTTTCACCTTGCTTATAGTTTCCTTTGCTGTGCAAAAGCTTTTAAGTTAATCAGGTCCCACTTGTTTACTTTTGTTTTTATTTCCATTACTCTAGGAGGTGGGTCAAGAGGATCTTGCTTTGATTTATGTCATTGAGTGTTTTGCCTATGTTTTCCTTTAGAGTTTTATAGTTTCTGGTCTTACATTTAGGTATTTAATCCATTTTGAGTTCATCTTTGTGTATGGTGTTAGGAAGTGTTCTAATTTCATTCTTTTACATGTAGCTGTCCAGTTTTCCCAGCACCATTTGTTGAAGAGGCTGTCTTCACCCCATTGTATATTCTTGCCTCCTTTGTCAAAAATAAGGTACCCATAGGTGCATGGGTTTATTTCTGGGCTTTCTATCTTGTTCCATTGGTCTATATTTCTGTTTTTGTGCCAGTACCATACAGTCTTGATGACTGTAGCTTTGTAGTATAATCTGAAGTCAGGAAGGTTGATTCCTCCAGCTCCATTCTTCTTTCTCAAGACTGCTTTGGCTATTCAGGGTCTTTTGTGTTTCCATATGAATTGTGAAATTTTTTATTCTAGTTCTGTGAAAAATGCCATTGGTAATTTGATAGGGATTGCATTGAATCTGTAGGTTGCATTTGGTAGCATAGTCATTTTCACAATATTGATTCTTCCTACCCAGGACCATGGAATATCTCTCCATCTGTTTATGTCATCTTTGATTTCTTCCATTAGTGTCTTATAATTTTCTCTGTACAGTTCTTTCATCTCCTTAGGTAAGTTTATTCCTAGATATTTAATTCTCTTTGTTGCAATGGTGAATGGGATTGACTCCTTAATTTCTCTTTCTGATTTTTCATTGTTAGTATATAGAAATGCAAGTGATTTCTGTGTATTGATTTTGTATCCTGCAAGTTTGCTAATTTCACTGATTAGCTCTAGTAACTTTCTGATACTATCTTTAGGGTTTTCTATGTACAATATCATGTCATCTGCAAACAGTGAAAGATTTACCTTTTCTTTTCTGATCTGGGTTCCTTTTATTTCTTTTCTTTCTCTGATTGTTGTAGCTAGGACTTCCAGAACTATGTTGAATAATAGTGGGGAAAATGGACATCCTTGTTTTGTTCCTGATCTTAGGGGGAATGCTTTCAGAGGCATAGACTATTTCAAGTCATATTTTGTGGTTTTGGTTAGTAATTGGTGCCATGCCTTCGTTTACTTTTTATTCGTTTACACTCTAGCAGATAAATGTGTTAAACTCCCAATTTATAGGGAAAAAACTTTACATTTATCCCCCCTCCCTCCCTCTCTGCCCCTCTCCTTCCCTTCCTTTCTTCCTAGGAGCACAATTCTAGGTACAGGAAGCTGCAGCATCCATAACACTGTGAATATCCTCTCTAGGGCTTCCCCAGTGGCTCAGGGGTAAAGAAGCTGCCTGTAATGCAGGAGACTTAGGTTTGATCCCTGGGTTGGGAAAATCCCCTGGAGAAGGAAATGGCAACCCACTCCAGTATTCTTGTTTGGGAAATCGCTTGGACACAGGAGCCTGGCAGGCTCCATATGGTCACAAAAGAGTCAGACTAAGTGACTAAACAACAATAGCAAATATCCTTTCTATCAACTCTTTTCCTCTTGCAAACTGGTCAGTGCTCTAGTCCACAGGGGAACATTAGTCCTCACAGGGAACTTATGAACGATGCACAATAGCACCTTCTATATGATTCTGAGTGTGGTAGCGAGTGAGCAGCAGTTTAGTGGGCTGTGCCTCTAGGGATGCACTCTTCCCACTTGGAGAGGTTGTTTCACCCTGGAGGGAGAGTTTTAGGCCCTGGCTAGCCAGGGGTGCCCTCTCCAGACCAAGCAGGACCCACCACTGACACATCATGGCAATAATACCTGGCATTTAGCCGGTGCTGCATCTTGCTCTGGGGGACAGGTGTGGAAGAGACTCAGCGAGGACAGCTGCTCTTGGAGTAGAGACACCCTCAGCCACCCAGTATCAGCTTGGCACAGGGGAGCTCCAAGGCACATGCATATGCCCACATGGCACCCACTGAAAAATCAGAATGTCTGGGGGACCCTGAGAGTACCCTGAAGACTGGAGGGTCAAGATTAAGTGATTGAATTTCTTGCCTGGTCAATTGAAGCCTTGAAAGATTCAGGAGCACTCTAGGGGGAAGGAGGATGTCCTAGGATGTTGGTACTCCTGTCCCTACATGCACCCCTCCAAAACCTCCAGCCTCTTCCCTTCACTGATGTCTTGAGGTCTTGTCACAGCTCATGTCCACCCTGCCTGCCTCCCCATGCATGGACAGACCTTCGGCCTCAATGAGATCTGCTGGATCACAGGCTTTGGCAAGACCAAGGAGACAGATGGTGAGAGGCAGATGCTAGACTGTGTGTGTGTGTGTGTGTGTGTGTGTGTGTGTGTGTGACTGTATACATGTGTTTCTTTTCTTTCTTTTTTTATTTGTATTTTTTTGTGGCATTTATTCTCAGGCCATAAGTTTTGTTTCTTCAGTATCTTCTGGGGGTATCTTTTTCTTCTGTGCAATCTCCTCTTCTGGTCTAGGAAAATCTGCCTTTTTTAGTAAGGATCATCTCCATGTGGCAGGGAGAGCTCATGTATGGGTTGATTCAACCATGAGCTCTGTAAGTCCTGTGCTCCATCTTGGGGGCTTTGCTCATTTGGGTGTGCTCAATGACCAGAGAATCTGTATCTAAGCCCTTAAGTTCAGCATTACTCTCTGTATTTTTGAGCACGTGCAATAAAAACTCAGCACTCTTCTTGGGCCACCGATCCTTTCCAGCCCCACTGTTTGACCTGAGCACACATATCAGCTCCATTATTGCGACGACACAATGGAACACACTGCTTTTTCAAAGTGACACCCTTCAGATGCTTGGTGGCTTTTCAGATATGCATACCCTTAATGGCCTGGGCAGTTTCACGAATGTTCTTAGAGTGAACATGAAGATTTGAACCTCTTGATTTGCACAATTTTGTGGCATTTTCTGGATCAAGTGAATAGTGAACCATTTTTAGAGGTCACCTCAGGTTGCTTATCAGAAAAACTATACATGTGTTTCTGGGCATGGGATGATATGTAGGGGTGTAGAAATGAGGGTCTCCTTAGATGAGGGTTTGGGTATATAGATTCATGGGCCTGGATGTGAATGTGTGTATATATACACATGCGTATACATCAAAGCCAGGCTTCCCTGGAGGTCCAGTGGTAAAGAGTCTGCTGGCAATGCAGCACACACAGGTTCAGTCCCTGGATTGGGAACATCCCCTGGAGGAGGGCCTGGCCACCCACTCCAGTATTCTTGCTGGGAATTCTTGCATGGACAGAGGAGCCTGGCGGGCTACAGTCCACGGGGTTGTAAAGAGTTGGACATGACTGAAGTGATAGCACGCATGCAAGTGTGTTATCAGGTGAACACTGGGTTGGACATTTTGGCCTAATTTGCGGTCCGTGTGCCTGCTGGTGATGATCAGGCGGGCTTTTGGCAGTGGTCACAATGGGACTTAATCAGTTTTGGTGGTGGCCTTGGTTCTGGGCTCCTTGTCTGTGGCCTTGGTGCAAAGCCTCGCACCTGTGATCTTGGGATAGGACTCCACAGATATCTTAATAACCTCATCTAGAAAGAGTCAATAGACTAAGCCTAAACCTATAGATGATGAAGAAGTGAAAAAGCAACAACCACTCATTCTGGCTGGAAGAGGGGGCCCTTTGGTCCTTTTGTGATGTGACCTACTTTGTTTGTGGCTGTGCTGAAACAAGGTTAGAAAGTGGTTTGGTCTTCCCTCACTTCAACATGATTACCGGGCGGCCTTGTCTGGTGTCAGTTCTGTTGGATTGTTGATACTGGGCAGGAAAGCACAGCAGTCAGCTGGCCTTGCTGTCAGGTTCGTGAGACTGGCCACTGCAGGTGTCAAGACCTTGCTCGTGGGATGGAGAAGTGACTGGCTGGGGGCAGCCTTGTTCTGACCTCAGCTCTCTAACTGACTAGCTGGGTGACTGTACATGCCTACTCAGTCACTTCAGTCGTGTCTGACTCTCTGCAACCCTATGGACTGTAGCCCACCAGGATCCTCTGTCCATGGGATTCTCCAGGCAAGAATACTGGAGTGGGTTGCTGTGCCCTCCTCCAGGGGATCTTCCCAACCCAGGGATCAAACCTGCATCTCTTATGCCTCCTGCGTTGGCAGGTGGGTTCTTTACCACTAGTGCCACCTGTGACTGTGGGCAAGTCCTTCTTCAGCCCTAAATTTCTTCTTCTGTAAGTGGATTCATCACACCTGCTCTCCTTAAAGCACATCATTACCAAAAGCAATGAAGTGATCTATTGGGTTGACTGAAAAGTTCTTTCGGGTTTTCCATTCTATCTTTTCTGCTTTGAATACAGAAAAGCATTGTGAGTGTGTCAGGCAGCCTGATAGGCTTGTGGGTTTGTCTCTGCATGTGTGTCTCTGTTATGTGTAGTGATTTGTGTCTGGTGTGAGGCTGTATGTGCCCCTGCATCCTGGGTGGCCCACCATGGGAATGGTACCCTCCACGCCTGGGAGGTTGCCAGTCTGGAGCCTGGTGTGGGCAGCTGGAAGCCTCCAAGATGCCCGGAGTCTCACTCCCTTCCTACCCTTTCTCTTCTCCACCCCACCGCACTGAAGAGAGGACATCCCCCTTTCTCCGGGAGGTGCAGGTCAACCTCATTGACTTTAAGAAGTGCAACGACTACTTAGTCTATGACAGCTACCTTACCCCGAGGATGATGTGTGCGGGGGACCTGCGAGGAGGCAGAGACTCATGCCAGGTGGGCTCGCTTCTGCGTGGGGCTCAGGTCCTGGGGCCCAGAGGGAAGGGAGGAAAGTTGGGGTGCTGTGGTCGGAGGGAGAGTCGGGGGCCCACCGTTTCCTGCTCAAGGACCACCTTTCCTACCCTGCTGACGTGCATGCTCCCTCGCAGGGAGACAGCGGGGGGCCTCTGGTCTGTGAGCAGAATGGCCGCTGGTACCTGGCAGGAGTGACCAGCTGGGGCACGGGCTGCGGCCAGAGGAACAAACCTGGCGTGTACACCAAGGTGACCGAAGTGCTCCCCTGGATATACAGCAAGATGGAGGTGAGAGCCCTGCCGGAGGCGTGGGACCCCCAAGGTGGGGTGCCTGGAAGTGGGCCTGGCCTTTCCCCAGGGTCTCAGCTGGGTCTCTGCACCCCCCTGCCTTTGGGGGTGTTCAGAAGTTGCCAGGAGAGAACAGGACAGTTGTCAAATGTTGGCCAACCCCAGCTGCCTGGACTTCTTCCCCTCCTTTTCCTCCCGCAAAACACAGCTCAGAGGGCTGGAAAGGGGTGGGGCTAGGCTTGGGGCCAGCCCCCAGTACCCCTCTCCTCTCCCCCGCGATGATGGAGTTGGGGAGGCCTCCCCTCCTTGGTAGGAGGCTGGTCTCCCAGGAAACTGGGCATCGGGAAGGAGAGGTCTGCCCCACCTCTGCTGACCCAGCCCAGCCCAGCCCCTGCCTCCCCTGGACCCCCATCCTTCCTGTAGCTGTGCCGGCCCTTCCCTTTTCCACCCAGGCAGTGAGAGCTCCGGTAAGGGTGGGGAAGGCTGCTCTGCAAATCCAGGGTGTCGGGTCTCTCAAAAACCGCTTCCATCTTGTCCCCTTGGCCGCCCCTCTTCCCTGAGGGACAGTGCCTGGTGACGGCTGGGCTGATTTTAGCCTCTGAGCCCGCGCCGCCTCTGTACACACCCAGCCCAGCTTCACCCTGTTCTCTCTCCTCTCTTCCTCAGAGGGAGGTGCGCTTCCGGAAATCGTAAGCAGCTGTCCTGCACCATCTCAGAGTCTGCCATGAAGACTCTGGCCAAAGGGAGCCATTTGCAACCTCCTCCGGGCTAAAGGCCGCCAGACACCATTGTTACTGCCACCCCCACTGTCGCTGCCTCTGTGAATGCACACGTGTGTGTGCATGTGTGTATGTTTACGTGTGTGTGTCGCTGCTCTCCCAAGGTCCTCAGAAATCAGGAGAGCTGTCAGCTCTTCCCAAACCTCAGGCTGGAAATCACCTGAAGACAACCGTTTGGGCCCCATGAGGGGTTCCCCAACATGGAAGTGTCCATTACGGATGGAGGAGGTGGAGCCCAGGGATGGTCTGGAAGGCCACATCAGGAATTTTTGTTTCCCTTACCCTCACTAGAGACTAGTCCAGAACAGGCAGCCCCCTGTGGCCCAGTCATCACTGCCAGCAAGGGACAGTATCAGATTTCACGGAGTGCCTGGACCACCTCTAGTGGGAAGACATTCCCGTTGACCTTCGGCCCATCCCGCCCCCTCTCAGCCCTCTCGCTGGATGCTGGATGCGGAGAGGGGCTGCGCCCTGGCTGTGCATGCTGACCACTCAGCACAGGGCTTACTGCTTCTTTCCGTCACAGGCTGTCGGAGGCAAACTTCATTTCATTTTTATATTCAAGTAATGGAAGTAAATGTATTATTTAAAGATTCTCCCAAAATTCCAGGAGCCAAGAGAGCTAGCCACTCAATTGCCCCAAGAACTCTGAGGGACCCCTGGCAGCTGTGTCCCCCTGGCATCCTGTGGAATGCTCTCGGCCTCAAGGGGCGAGATGAAGGGGCCCTTTGAGATACTCAGGGAAGCAGATCCATCACCAAGACTGCCACACTGCTGCTGCACCCGAGGGCTACAGGAGCACGAGGGAAGCAAGGCTGCTTCTCTGTTGGCCCCAGAGCCTGGGACAGTCCAGGCAGACGGGCATCTCTGGTACACAGGGATGTCCTGGGACTTTGGAATTTCTTCTCAGCTTTCCCCATCTTTCAGCTTCTCAGGGACACAGTGTTGCCGTGAAAACTGCCTCAGAGAGAAAGCTGACTCTGTCCCCAGGCTGCCTGCAAACTGCTTTTCCGAAGGATCCGAGTTGCCCCTCCTGTGGGGCATCAGTGAGTCTGACCCCTGAGTCAGCTGAAGTCCCGGATCTTCTGCATCCTTTTCTCTGGGGGCACTTGGTTCTCCCACTGTCTCCTACCTTCCTTGGGTCTATCTGGTGTTGCCATGACTCCTAGAAGCGGGGTTCAAGCAGATCAGCCCAGCCCAGATAAGGCAGGTGGCAGCTTGGGGGATAGACTGTTCTGGAGAGCAGCTGGGATTGGCTAGCATGGCTCAGAAGGTTCTGAGGGGGCTGGTGATGTGTTATCAAGGCTGGGGTTGGGAACAGCAGTGTTCATGTCCACAGCACCCCAGCAGTGATCTTCAATAAAAACTATGTGACCTGAAAGATTTGTCATTGAATATTTCAGTGGTACCCTGGGTAGAAAACTGAGGCTGCCTACCCAGATGCTCAGGCATCCTCAGTTTGGTTCTTAGTTTTGGTTCCTCAGCTTTGGGTTCTGCTCATTTAATCATACGATTTGTTTATTTATTCATTTACCCACCATACTGGTGCCTGCCCTGTACCAGGAACTTGTACCAGGCCCAGGAGGTACAAAAACAACAGTGGTCCTCAGGAACTCAAGGTCATGACCCAGTGTGATGGAAGCTGTGATTCAGTGTGGATACTGTGCTTGGAACACAGCCAGCAGCCTCACCTAGAGAGGTCAGGGAAGGCTTCCCAAAGGAGGTGAGGTTTGAAATAAGTCTTAAAGAGTACGTGAGTCTCCACCAAGCACATGGGTGGGGGAAGAGCAGTCCAGCAGTCCTTTTTGCCTCCTTCCTCTTTCTCTACCTCTGACTTTGCCAGCTCAGCAAAAGGCATGTTTACGAAGAAGCCCCAGTGCTTAACTGCTTCCAAGAGAATTGGATGGGTGGTTCCATTGGCCTCTTCTGAAAGATCTAGTCCTTCTTGCTCCATACTTACTTTTCCTACATTTAATATGTTGATCTCTTTCATATTGTTGACCTCATTTAATACTATGTTCCCACGATGAATGCCCAGCACGCACACCACCCCCAATATACACAGTTGTGCCTCTAGCCATGAGCACAGAATTCTCCAGGCCTGCCCCTATGGGCCTGGCCTTTGGACACCTCCAGAGTGTTTAATTCCGCCCCCCCCCCCCCCATCAATGACAGGGCAAATCCTTCCTCCAATTATTTTCTCGCTCCATCTGCATGACAAAACACAAGGAGGGGGCATGTGCCAGGCTCACTTGATGAGCAGTGGGGGTAACACAACTGCTGTCACAGAGCCCACAATCTCCCATGATCTCCTTGGCTTGACCCAATCAAAGTTTATGTCTCATCTTTTGAAGGGTCCAATGAGGAAGTCTAGCCAACAGGAGACTTGCTTCCACGTGATTTTTCAGGGATACAGACTTTTTTTAGCCTAGTGACTTTGTCATCTGCTTCCAGTGAGAGGACAGAGGAAAGAAAACATGAAGGCAGATCCATTTCTTAAATGCTCTGACTCAGAAGTGATCCATAGCACTTCACTCATATTTTATGGCTGTCCACATGCCATTGGCACCAACTAGATCAACTGGGAAAGGCCCTAAGAAAAGTGGTCCTGGGCAGTTCCCAGGCAGGAGCGAACACTTGTTTTGGAGGAAAACCAGCCATCTCTGTCTCCCAGAGGAAGCTGGTCAGATCCCAGAAGCCAGGCCTTGGGGCAGAGAGTTAGGGCTTAGGCCATTTCTGTTCCTGTTTCCTAAGGAACCAGACCCTTTCCTTCCTCTCTTGGCTTCCTAGGGCAGAAATTGATTTGCAGGGGTGCAGGTGTATGTGAAAAGACCCTGACGCTGGGTTGAAGGCAGCAAGAGACTGAGGGCAGGAGGAGAAGGGGACAACAGAGGAAGAGATGGTTGGATGGCATCACCGACTCAATGGACATGAGTTTGAGCAAGCTCTGGGAGATGGTGATGGACGGGGAAGCCTGGCGTGCTGCAGTCCATGGGGTCACAAAGAATCGGACACGAATGAGCAACTGAACAACAAGGCGTGTGCATGTTTGGAGGAGGTAGGAGAAAAAGCAATCTCTAGATGGGAAAAATAAAAGTATGCCTTAGGCCCAGGACATCTATAAAGGCTATAAAAATCATTAGGACTTCCCTTGTGGTGCAGTGGATAGGAATCCGCCTGCCAATGCAGGGGACACAGGTTTGATCCCTGGTCCAGGAAGATTCCACATGCTGCAGAGCAACCAAGCCCGAGCACCACAACTGCTGAGCCCAAGTGCTGCAACTGCTGAAGCTCTCTAACCTAGAGCCTGTGCTCCGCAACAAGAGAAGCCAGTGCACCGCGACAAAGAGGAGCGCCCGATCACTGCAACTAGAGAAAACCTGTGTGCCGCAACGGAGTCCCAGTGCAACAAAAAATAACAATAAAGAATTAAGGAAGAGGCTGGGAGAGCCTCAGAATTCCCCAGCTAGACTAAGATACCTTAGCCATGTCGTGCTGTGTGCTAAGTCGCTTCAGTTGTGTCCGACCCTTTGTGACCCCGTGGACTGGAGCCCTCCAGACTCCTCTGTTGACGGAATTTTCCAGGCAAGAACACTGGAGTGGGTTGCCATGCCCTCCTCCAAGGGATCTTCCCAACCCAAGGACTGAACCCATGTCTCTTAAGTCTCCTGCATTGGCAGGTGGGTTCTTTACCACTAGTGCCACCTGGGAAGCCAAAGTACCTTAGATATATATATATATATAAAAGAAAGAAAAAACTCATGGAGGGTGGGCGATGGGACTTCCCAAATTGATCCAGAATTTCCAGGGAGATGGGTGTGTGTACTAAGGGGAGGATTTGCTGGCAACACTGTCCTATGTTCACTGGGTCCCAGGCATTCTCCAGGCACCAGTAAAACTCTCTGGCTTTGTCAGCTCTGTCGACGGCTGAATTTCCCTGGAATTTCCTTGCGGAGAGGGGCAGGGTCAAGTGAATGTGTTGGGAACGGGGCAGATGAAGATGACACTTTGGTGGAGCAGCCAGTTACAGCCTCGCTGCCCATCCAGCTGCCTCTGGGGTTTGTTAGGTTCCCAAGAGCTACTGTTGCCCATAACTGCTCAGCCAGTGTTCTGATGAAATTGGAAGGAAGTTGGGAGATGCGCATGGAGAGCCCCTCGTAGTGATAATGATGATAATGACAATAACAGCTCGCCTTTGCTGAATGTCTGCTGTGTGCCAGATGCTGTGCAGCCCTTGGTGTGTATTATCTCCTGTGAGCTTGGAGCAGGCATTTTATGGCCTCTGTTTTACGGATGAGGAAACAGGGCCAAGAGAAGTGAAATAAGCTTCCCCCAGACTAACAGCTACCAAGTGGCAGAGCTGGACTTTGAATCCAGGCTGTCTGATGTTAAAAGCTGTTTTAAAAAATAGGTGGAGTCTTCCTAGCTGCCCCCTCCTGGGGTCTGCCGTCTGGCTCTGCAGATCTTTCTGTTCTCCACCAGGCTTCCGCAGTGCGAGGGGCAGGGTGGGCAATACCCCAGGAGGATGGGCACATCCCTCAGAGGGCCACATGACCAGAACTTAGAGAAGGCAGTTTCTAGAGCTCGGGACAAGTGATTCATGGATGGGCGGAGGCCCCCTGGCACCTTCCACACCCCCAGTCCCCAAGGGGATGGTTTCCCTCTGATTCCATGACACGCCACAGCTCCAGGATGCCTCCACGTCTCCTCGATGTGTGTGGGTGACTCCAAGAAGTGCGAGCCACTCATTCCCTACCTCCTCTGCTCTGGCTCAGGCTTCCTGTTCCCTGACACTGCCACCCATCCAGGGAGCAAGCTCCATACTGGTCCTACAGCGGACCCACCCAGGGAACACGGAGGGCCATGCTCTAGAGATAAGCAGCTGGGATGGCTGCTTTATTAGATGAGTCCTTTGAGAAAGGAGGAGCACGCTTGGCCTTTGGTTCTCCATACTCGGTTCCCGCCAGCGAGATCAGTGGATATGACAAACCGTCTCCTCTGTCTAAGCCCCAAGTCCCAGAAGTTCTTCACTTTTCATATGAGGAAGGAGCCGGGAATCCTCTTTGAATGTTGTTGCTGTTGTTGTTTAGTCGCTAAGCCATGTCTGACTCTTTTGCCACCCCATGGAGTGTAGCCCGCCAGGCTCCTCTGTCCGTGGGATTTCTCAGGCACGAACACTGGAGTGGGTTGCCATTTCCTCCTACAGCGGATCTTCCTAACTCAGAGATTGAACCCACATCTCCTACATTGGCAGGAGGATTCTTTACCACTGAGCCACCAGGAAAGCCCCTTCTTGGAATAATTCCTCCAAATTATGCTATGTTGCAGTGGAGAGAAACTTGGAGCTGGAAACCAAACACCTGGAGGTACAAATCCCTCCAGGTACCTCCAGGCTCGGCCACTTGTTTGGCTCTGGTCTTGGGCAAGCCAATTTCTGTTTCCTCATATGTGAGATGGGTGTATCCAGCCCACACGTTGGTGCAGGATGAAGTGGGAGGATGCATGTAAACACACAGGGCAAAGTGATTGGCATATTATGATCTCTCAACAAATGTCAAATTTGAAACAAAAAGGACAGATCTTTCACCTCATATCCCTCCACCCAACAAGTGTCATGCTGCTGCTGCTGCTAAGTCGCTTTAGTCATGTCTGACTCTGTGTGACCCCACAGACGGCAGCCCACCAGGCTCCCTCGTCCCTGGGACTCTCCAGGCAAGAACACTGGAGTGGGTTGTCATTTCCTTCTCCAGTGCATGAAAGTGAAAAGTGAAAGTGAAGTGGCTCAGTCGTGTCTGACTCTTAGCAACCCCATGGACTGCAGCCTACCAGGCTCCTCCGTCCATGGGATTTTCCAGGCAAGGGTACTGGAGTCATAGGAGAGGGAAATTTGACTCTGTCTTCAGGGTTTAGGAACTTTCCTCTTAGTCTCCTAACAATGGCCTGATCTTCCAAGCAGATGACATTACCACCTGGGGTAGATGCCCTCCCCTACTGGTGGCTTCTCTAAGCCATGGCAACTCACTGAATTGGGCTCACCCAGCTCTCTCATTCACTGATGGAACCAGGATGGCTTCCTGTCCCTGGCCCTGCCCTGGTGGCATCTGACTGCTCAGCCAAAGAAGCTGGCAATTCAGGGCCGTGAGGGGACACACATCTTTGTTCCTGGTGGACTGATCCATCCACGGCCATCTGGCTCCTACCGCATCATGTCTGTGAATCCCCACGTTGCCAAATCTGATGGAAACTTTTTCAGTCCTCATCTTACCAGAGCTCTGAAGCTGCAGCATTTCCCTCTCGAGGACTTCCTACTTTGTGAAATTGCTGCAGCTTCTGCAGTATCAAGCTCTCCCAGTTCCCCTCCTGACCCTCTGGCTGCCCCTTCTGTCTTCCAAAAACTGTATTAATGGTGTCCCTAGGACACCAGCTCTCTTTTCGGGGTATATACTCACCCTGGATTTTCTAACCAATATCAGTGGAGCCAGTAGGAATTTGCTCCACATCATTAAAGTACAAGAAATGTCATCTTTCTTTTTAAAACCAGATTAAAATCTGACTTTGAACTGCCTAATCCTGGCTGGAAAGCATCTCTCATCATGTCCTTCCCCCGGAAGCTCAGCCCCAGGAGAGCCTGTCCACTGTGCTCGTGGTGGGGCGCCCAGTCTGCAGCCATCACAGGTCCCCTTAGGGGATTACAGGTAAAAGGAGTAGCTCACAAACCCGCTGCCCTCTGTACCCCTAGGCTCAGGAGCCCCACTCTCCCTGGGTCAATCTCAGGCTGCTCTCCACTCTTCAACCCCCAAAGCCCTTCTCTCCTTGCAGACAGCTCAGACCCATCTCTGTCACTTAAAAAAAAAAAAAAATCATTCATTTGTTTGTTTTTGGCTGTGCTTGATGGGCTTTATCTAGTTATGATGAGTGGACTACCCTCCAGTTGTGGTGTGCGGGCTTCTCATCGCTGTGGTTTCTGTTTGCGGAGCACAGGCTCTAGACACAGGCCTCAGAATTTGCGGCACACAGATGCTAGAGCGCAGTCTCAGTAGTTGTGGTTGCCCCAAGGTAGTTAGTTGCCCCAAGGCATGTGGGATCTTCCTGGACCAGGAATCAAGCTCATGTTCCCTGCTTTGGTAGGCGGATTCTTAACCACTGGACCACAAGGGAAGTCCAGGCCTGTCTCTTTTATGTACACCACCAGTGTGTCGGAATTTTTTGACCTATGACAAAGGCAAATAATTTCTCTCTAGGGGAAAAGCCATTCTTTCTTGATGAGATCATGGAAGAAATCAAGATCACCACAGATCTCAATGGTGGTATACAGATTATCATGTGAACCTAAGTTTTCATTCTCTAGGATAAATTACCCTAGGTGACATCATGTTTGCACACATGCATGCATGCCAAGTCGCTTCAGTCTTGTCTGGCTCTTTGCGACCTTACAGACTGTAGCCTGCCAGGCTCCTCTGTCCACGGGATTCTCTAGGCAAGAATACTGGAGTAGGTTGCCTTGTCTTCCTCCAGGAGATCTTCCTGAACTAGGGATTGAACTTGCATCTCTTATGTCTCCTGCATTGGCAGCTGGGTTCTTTACCACGAGCGCCACCTGGGAAGCCTGACATTATGGTTATCTTTTATTTGTTGTTGTTGTTGCCTTTAATTTAATATCTAAATAGATACCATATTCTTCTATAATTACAATATGGAAATGTCTATGAACAAAATAGATAAACTTTTTGTCATATGCTGAGGAAAGAACGGTAGTAGTAAGATTCATCCATAGTTTTAGCAGCAGCATCAACGCAGCCGGAGTATGGTCAGTATTTGGGGACAGAGGTAAATATCCGCAATCTGTGCATACCTTTGATTTCTTCTTTTAGTGCCTGATTAACCATCTGGTGCTGCTGAACAGTTCTCTTCTCTTTAAATTCTTCTGATTGAATTTTAATTTCATACATTGCCCCACAGCCTCCTGAAATGTCAGTGACTTTGATAGCTGTAGCTCAAGGAAACTTTTCTTTGTGAATTTGGGTCACTGTGAGCTCCCCCTCAGTCTGTGAGGCGAAAATGCGCTGGGCCCAGTGGCGGGTTCTGCGAAGCAGCAGCACTGCCGCGGCCGGGCTCCACGCCGCCATGCCCGGCCGATGCGGTCCCCTGTCCGAGGTCGCCGCCCATTATGGTTATTCTATGTTTAACTCTGTAAGAAACTACCAGGCTGTTTTCAGAGGGGCTGTACCTTTTTACATTCCCACCTGCTGCGTAAGAGTTCTAGCTGCTCAATGTATAAAATAGGTAACTAACGAGAATCTACTGTATAACACGGGGAACTCCACCCAGTGCTCTGCGGTGACCTAAAAGGGGTGGAAATCCAAGGAAGAAGGGACGTATGCATATATGTGGTTCATTCACTTCATTGTACAGCCGAAACTAACACAACACGGTAAAGCAGTTATACTCCAATAAAAAAGAGAGAGTTCTAGTTTCTCTGTGTCCTCTCCAGTTCTTGGTATTGTCAGTATTTTTTATTGCAGCTCTTCTAATAGGTGTGCAATGGCATCTCATTGTGGTTTTAACTTGCCTTTCTCTGATGACTAATGATATTGAGCATGTTTTTATGTATTATTTGTCATCTACCTATCATCTTCAGTGAAATTCCTGTTCAGATTCTTTGCCTGTTTGTTGGTTTGTTTCTTATTGTTGAGTTTTGAGAGTTCTTTTCTTTTTAAAGATTTATGTATTTATCTTTATTTTTTGGACATGCCAGGCAGCATGTGGGATCTTAGTTCCCTGACCAGGGATCAAACACGCATCCCCTGGACAGGCAGCTCAGAGTCTTAAGCATTGGGCTACTAAGGAAGTCCTGAGCGTTCTTTACATAGTTCAAACACTAGTCTTTGCTGAATATATGATCTGTAAATACTTTCTCCACACATGACCAGCCTTTTTGTTCTCTTAATTGTGTCGTTACAGAACAAGTTTTTAATTTGGTGAATTCCAATTTATCAGGTTTTTTTTTTTAATAGGACTGTACTAAGAACTCTGCCAAATCCAAATGCAAGAAGATCTTTTTCTGATATTTTCTCTTAAGAATTTTATTGTTTGAAATTTTACACTTGAACCCGAGAAGCATTTGGAGTTACTTTTTGGATACCATTGAGTTATAGATTGAGGTCTACTTTTTGTTTGTTTGTTTCTTTGTTTGCAAATGAATGCCAGGTTGTTCTAGCATTTTTTGTTGAAAAGACTGTACTTTTCCTATCCAATTGTCTTTGCATTTTGTCAAAAATCAATTGAGCATGTTTGTGCAGGTGTATTTCTAGACTCTATTCTGTTCTGTTGATCTATGTGTCTGAAAGTGAAAATGAAAGTCACTGCGTTGTATCTGACTCTTTGCGACCCCATGGACAATACCGTCCATGGAATTCTCCAGGCTAGAATACTGGAGTGGGTAGCCTATCCCTTCTCCAGCGTATCTTCCCGACCTAGGAATTGAACCAGGGTCTGCTGCATTGCAGGTGGATTCTTTACCAACTGAGCTATCAGGGAAGCCCCGATCTATGTGTCTATCCTTGACCAGTGCCAACCTGTCTTATAGTATGTCTTGGGCTTCCCAGGTGGCTCAGTGGTAAGGAATCTGCCTGCTAATGAAGGAGACATGGGTTCCATCCCTGGGTCAGGAAGACCCTCTGGAGAAGGAAATGGCAATCCACTCCAGTATTCTTGCCTGGAAAATCCCATGGACTGGCCAGCTACAGTCCATGGGATCATGAAAGAGTCAGACACAACTGAGTGACTAAACAGCAGGAACATAGTATGTCTTAAAGCTGGCAGGATGAGTCTTCCAAGTCTGTTCTTTTTCAACATCATTTTGGTTATTCTAGCTCTTTACATTTCCATAGACATTTTAGAACCAGTTTGCTTAGATCTATAAAGAAGCCTGTTGGAATTTCGATTGTGATTGTGTAAATCTACAATCAACTGGGAGAGAATTAACATGTTAATCATTGAGTCTTCCAAATCATGACCATGACGTGTCTATCCATTTATTTAGATTTTCCTTGATTTCCTTCATCTAGATTTTTGTAGTTTTTAGCATATAGATCCTGTTCCCATTTCATTATATTTATAACTAAGTAATTAAATATTAATGAAAACAAAGTTTTCACTGAAATAATATTTTTAAACAAAAGAGAGGGAGATGAGTGACATTGTTTTACATTTTTGCAACTGTTTTTAATGTCTGGCTTAATGAAAGAGCTGGGTTCTCATTTTTCCTTCAGTGTTCAGTCTGTTGTGATATGCTGTTTTGGTTAAAATACACAAAGAAAATTCAATATTATACCAATACAGAGTTGGAAAATGGAAATATATTGTTTTAGCCTTTCGGATAATTATGAATACTTTTTTTGATACTTAGTGTACTCAGACTTGACAAGTGGCAGTTTCTTAAAGGTCAGCTGCAATGTGGAATCGAAAACCCGTCAATGAACTTTTTTACTCAGTTACTTTAAAATCTCTGGTCTATGTTGCACTCTGAATGGGTCTTTTGTTGTTGTTTAGTCACTCAGTCGTGTCCAACTCTTTGTGACCCCATGGACTGTAGCCCACCAGGCTCTTCTCTCCATGTAATTCTCCAGGCAAGAATATTGGAGTGGATTGCCATTTCCCAGGGGATCTTCCTGACCCAGGGATCGAACCCGTGTTTCCTGCTTGGCAGGTGCATTCTTTAACACTGAGCCACCTGGGAAGCCCTGAATGGATCTTTGACCCATGTCTAATTTTGTAACATAATGAATTTGTCATTTGGAAAATATTGATTCTGAGTTATGAACATCTTCCAAATGCTGACATATTTCATTATACAATACCAAAAATAATTTGTGTTAATATCACTACTGCTCTCATTAGAAGAGTATTTAAGGGTTGGAAATCAGTCAAGCCCATGGGGAAGGATGCACATTTTCCAAAATTCTAATTTTCAATTGAGCATTTAAGTTCTGTCCCTAGCAACAAATATTGTCTGTATTGTCTGCTCTTTTCCTTGCTGTGACAAGCTCATTTTGTTCATTTTTGAGAAAGTGATTGCCAACTATCAAGTCTAAATAGCCATCTGTCTGTTAGTTTTCTTTTTTTTTAATTTTATTTTATTTATTTATTTTTTCATTTATTTTTATTAGTTGGAGGCTAATTACTTTACATCATTGCAGTGGTTTTTGTCATACATTGAAATGAATTAGCCATGGATTTACATGTATTCCCCATCCCGGTCCCCCCTCCCACCTCCCTCTCCACCCGATCCCTCTTGGTCTTCCCAGTGCACCAGGCCCGAGCACTTGTCTCATGCACCCAACCTGGGCTGGTGATCTGTTTCACCCTAGATAATATATGTGTTTCGATGCTGTTCTCTTGAAACATCCCACCCTCGCCTTCTCCCAGAGTCCACAAGTCTGTTCTATACATCGGAGTCTCTTTTTCTGTTTTGCATATAGGGTTATCGTTACCATCTTTCTAAATTCCATATATATGTGTTAGTATACTGTAATGGTCTTTATCTTTCTGGCTTACTTCGCTCTGTATAATGGGCTCCAGTTTCATCCATCTCATTAGAACTGATTCAAATGAATTCTTTTTAATGGCTGAGTAATATTCCATGGTGTATATGTACCACAGCTTCCTCATCCATTGGTCTGCTGATGGGCATCTAGGTTGCTTCCATGTCCTGGCTATTATAAACAGTGCTGCGATGAACACTGGGGTGCACATGTCTCTTTCAGATCTGGTTTCCTCAGTTTGTATGCCCAGAAGTGGTATTGCTGGGTCACATGGCAGTTCTATTTCCAGCTTTTTAAGAAATCTCCACACTGTTCTCCATAGTGGCTGTACTAGTTTGCATTCCCACCAACAGTGTAAGAGGGTTCCCTTTTCTCCACACCCTCTCCAGCATTTATTGCTTGTAGACTTTTGGATAGCAGCCATCCTGACTGGTGTGTAATGGTACCTCATTGTGGTTTTGATTTGCATTTCTCTGATAATGAGTGATGTTGAGCATCTTTTCATGTGTTTGTTAGCCATCTGTATGTCTTCCTTGGAGAAATGTCTGTTTAGTTCTTTGGCCCATTTTTTGATTGGGTCATTTATTTTTCTGGAGTTGAGCTGGAGGAGTTGCTTGTATATTTTTGAGATTAATCCTTTGTCTGTTGCTTCGTTTGCTATTATTTTCATCAAGACAGTATGGTACTGGCACAAAGACAGAAATATAGATCAATGGAACAGAATAGAAAGCCCAAAGATAAATCCACGAACCTATGGTCACCTTATCTTCGACAAAGGAGGCAAGGATATACAATGGAAAAAAGACAACCTCTTTAACAAGTGGTGCTGGGAAAACTGGTCAACCACCTGTAAAAGACTGAAACTAGAACACTTTCTAACACCATACACAAAAATAAACTCAAAATGGATTAAAGATCTAAATGTAAGACCAGAAACTATAAAACTCCTAGAGGAGAACATAGGCAAAACACTCTCCGACATAAATCACAGCAGGATCCTCTATGACCCACATCCCAGAATTTTAGAAATAAAAGCAAAAATAAACAAATGGGACCTAATGAAACTTAAAAGCTTTTGTCTGTTAGTTTTCATTCAAGGAAAAATGATATTTCATGAAAAAAGTGGCTAGTTCATCTTGCAGCTCAAAAATGCAAGTGTTTTTCCTCAAGACAACTTAGCACTTTGGGATGCACCTAAAGTGCCTTGCTCACACTTAAATTTTTCACACTGAGTACTAAAAAGACATGTATTTAGGATTGAGACTAAATAATGAATACTTTTAAATAATTAATAATTTATACCACTTTGTTGAGGGGCTTCCCTGGTGGCTCAGCAGTAAGGAATCTGCTTGCCAATGCAGAAGGTAGAAGAGACACTGGTTCATTTCCTGGGTTGGGAAGATTCCCTGGAGAAGGAAATGGCAACCCACTCCGGTATTCTTGCCTGGACCTGGAGAATCCCATGGACAGAGGAACTTGGTGGGCTCCAGTCCATGGGGTCATAAAGAGTCGGACATGACTCAGCAGGCACACTACTACTACTACTTCATCAAAGACGCGCTTAAAATCTGGCAAGTGTGAGCTGGTGAAGGACACAGTGATTATGCACACAGTTTGGTATATGCAGTTTGGTGCTGTGGCCTCAAT